TAAAACACAAAAAATAGACTGGTTCTCGATTCCTTGTTCTCATTTTTTTTCATTTACATCAATTTAAAAACTTTGTTTRTGTAATTTGAGTGATAGAATTTTCAGAAAACAAGACCACTTTTACAGTTTTTCTTTCTGTTTTCTTTCTTTCTATCAATTCTGAATCACTGGACGATAACACAATCTTGTGCAAATAACCACAAGTCGTGATTATTTACAAAACCSTCACATGTAATTATTGACACTCTTCCACGCTAAGCGAAAGTAATTACCCTTGAACCCCCAGTCGATATCCGATCAATCAATTATTAATTCTCATTCCTCCCATCAATAATAGAAACACAAACGTGTCTCTCAGTCTCGTCCCAATTCCACAAAATGCACTTTTCTCGCGTCCTTTGCTCCGGTCCAGTCAAAGACTTGACTCTGAGAAGCCAACCTTGAGACACACCCTTTCAAAGATAAGCACTATCGATCCTCCAGGAAACGGTGATTTCACGTAATAAATGATAAGTGATAATCAGTTCAGTTCGAGCTTCGGTGCACAATGAGAAACATCGTCGGTCTCCTCCTCGTAGTACCCTTGGTGCAGTGCGTCCATGTCGCCTCCCTCAGCATCCAACAACACCAAGGGAACTACTCCCAAGTAGTACAATTCATKTTTAACCAAACCACGGAACATGTTTTGGTCTTCCCGACTTCGGATTCCCGCTATCCATACCGAGTCAAGGCTTGGAGTACCGGGGCAAGGGTGGAGAACCCGGTTTTGGTGGTGGTACGCCAGGAACGGGAGGTTCTCTCATGGCAAGTACCCTTCGTCGTTGACACGACCACGAGGGACGGAGTGGTACATTTTCACAACACTTCGAGGACTCTCTGTCATAACAACATGCCAAAAATTGCCAAAGCCAAAAGCACTTCCAGGGGTTTGCCAATAAAGTTGTCTCAGAATTTCATTATCGCACTCTCGACTTCGTCCCTGATCAATATTGATATTTCGGTGGTGGTTGAGGAGGAGAAGGATTTTTATTTGGAGGAGAGGCGACCATATGTAATTTCAGTGTCCCCAAGTGAATCAAAGTACTACTACTACAAGTTCCACGACAAGAAAAACACAAGTGCTATGATTGAAATCAACTCAGATGATGATGTTTGTTTGACGGTCTCCATCCAGGATAGTTTTGTAAGGAGTTGTTGGTACCAAATTGGGTACTCAAAGTGTGTTTCCAGTGCCCTGTTTTTGACTTGGATAAAGACATCACCTACGAAGGGAAGTACCAGACAATCAATCGGAAAGGAGGGATGACAATCCGGGTAAGTAACAATTGTACAACTCGAGGAAAAAACCATTCACCAGTCTAACTTTCTGCTTTGTTGCAATAGTGTTTCCTACTAATTAATTGGGGAGCAGGTAATATGTCGAAAGACCCTTATTTAGGAAGTTGGTCCGGACTCGGGGACACATGTTTCTTCAAAACGGTCTTTTTCTAAAAAAATTTCTTCCATGGGTATAGATTATTAAATGGTGATTATAATAAATTGCAAAATGACACTAATGCATGCCCATGTATTTTATTACCTTAAGAAAATTTTTGTGATTTTTAATTTTGTTACAAATAGCTAGTTTTTTCCGTTTTTTGATTTATTTTTATTACTTCTAAACAAAGCAAAAAACCCAAAGTAGTAAGTTTAATGCCATAATAATAATAACTAATGTTATACAGTATCTCCCCGTATTTTTTTATTTTTTATTTTACACTAACACTGCAAAAGAAAAACATTTTTTGATTCACCTGAAACCAGTCTGTAACTTTAAAAGTTCATTATTTTCGCCTTATTTAGGAAGTTGGTTCGGACCCGAAAAATGTCTTTTTGTGAAAATCACTTCAATGAGCATAGATAATAACGAATACATTAAATTGTGATTATAATAAACAAACTTGCTCAAATTATCAATTACAAATACATAAATTTATTTACGAAATGTATTTTGCAAGTATACAGTATGTTCCCGGATTAAGTTTACAATAGGAAAAAAAATGTACCTTTGATTTTATGCTAAAACTGCAAAGGAAAAACATTTTTAGCTTGAGTTGACTTTTAAGGTTCTTTATCTACAGCTTTAAAAAATCAAGATTGTAGAACTAGTTTTAAATGCCAGATTTTTTTAATAAACTGTGAATTTTGCCAATTTCTATCAAATTATTTCTTTTATAATTAAAATTCTGAACT